ATTTGCTCCGGCACCTTCAAGGCCACAAAGGTGCTGGCTCTTTTCTACTGCACTAGCGCAATACTGGCACTTCGCCGGCGATCCGCGTTTTTCTGTTGGAGCATGCACCTCATATATACAGAAGCGAGAGGCCTAACTAAATGGTCGGCGCACACTTTTCAGGATAGCGTGAGATAATCTTTCTGGATCTCTTACCTTACCGAAACGTAAGTGCTACAGCAATTCATGCACAATTACACTGTCAAACGAGGCGATGGGTCCACAAACCGATAGACTTAGGAATGGGAAGGACCTGAGATTATATCAATGTCGCAGTCACAGAACTCCTGTTTCAATTTCTCTGCATCAATGTCAAAATATTGCGCATGTTAAGTAACCTCTATTAGCTGTTTCAGCCTCCTCCATTTCGCGACCGTTATGGTTCCCAAGAATAAGTTGAATGTACCTGTGCTTGAGACGGAGTGCCTCCTCTTTAATACGAACAGCGAGAGACTTCGCTAAGTTGCCATTTTGGTGTTCAAACACCTTTTCCTTAAGTCTGCGCAGCCACTAACGGAGAGAGGAGGAGGAGGAGGAGGAGTACTTGTCCGCCCGGACGTATATAGTCACACAAAGACAACACATCCTGAATTTAGATAGATTGTCAAATATTCACAATACTCGGATCTATCAGTCAGAAAATAAGCCAAATTCCGTGACTGCAACCATTTCACCAAGCCGATCATCTAAACCTTCGATCATTGCAACGAGTGTTTCTGGTGCTTGATCTTACTATAGTTGACAGGAGAAATCTTGCATGTTAAGTGATCAGAACTGCCCGAGTGTGTACGATGAATCACCTCACGTTGTTAACAAACACCAGGTCCGTGGTCTCATCCAATTTGGTGAGCAATTTTACTAGTTTCCGTAACGCGAGATCGGTCAGAAACATGATATCAATCTGTTAAAGCCACTGGTGAAAATACACGCTGTTTGACATCAGTTGTAAATTTGTCCTATAACAGGTTTCTGCTTCAAGTTTGGGTCAGATGGGAGGTAAATAATGCTAACCGACAAAATTGCGCAGTACCCAACCAAATACCTTGGTTTGCATTGCCGGACTAAGTACTTGATACAGGGTGTGCGGCATGATGCAATACACCAAGCATAAGCGTAAATTAAAACTTCCCACGACGGTTCCGACGCGCACTTGGGCGGTAGATGTGATGTCAATCTAACCATTCGACTGATACAATGGCATCATCTACTTCTTCATGAAGTCAAATTGCTTGCAACAAAATGATGCCTATCTGAGAAAATCCTCTGGGACTGCTGATGCACGATAGTCTATCCATGTGTCTTAGGAGCGAACGGCTGTTAGCGCTAAACAATAAGGGTACACTCAGCTTTCGCAATTTTCTCTTTCGAAGTGCAACCCACCAGTTAGCGCGATCTTTTATTGCGGGTTTATTGCATTCTTATCGATATTTTGCGCTCCGTTTCTTATCACGCGGCCGTTGGAAGAGACACAATTCCTAAGCGTGGAAACAGAGCGATGTGAAATATCGCGCACAGATGGGTATCGCACTAATCGCAGAAGCGGTGCTAAACAAGACAAGAGCGTTTCCACAGCAACTAAAGAGTGTAAGCGTGTGTGCTTTGATTCCACAGTGAGGGACCATAGAGCAAAACCAACTTTGAAGATCCCGTCCATCACTGAAAAGCACTGAATATTTGCCTGTCCGTTTTCAGGCTGTGTAACACAAAAGTTTTCAGTAGGCGAAATAACAGGATCTAGATATTGGAGAGGCGATTCGGTATTTGGCTCCATGCTTGTTTACTGTCCGGATAAGTGTACTTGTGGCTTAGCTCATTTGAAGTGTTTTCCAGTCATCTGCGTATGCTGCAGTGGAAAAAATAGCAGAAAGATTCTGATTACTTTGTGGTACCTAATTTGAAATTACGCCCATGTTTGTTTCTGAAAAAGTATTAATCCAATGTCATGGAAAGGTTGTACTAATATTTGGTCTGTTCCTTCTAGGGAACAGCTTCTCGCATCGTTGAGGAAAATACAATTTATTTATTTATTCCCTTTGATCAAGTTACCTAATAAAGATAGATAGAGCCGATGTCTAGGAGATAATATTTCGTCTTCTCTCAATTGGATTAAATAGCTTTTTGGACTTTACGTTGTGTGTCGCACTCAGGACGCACAATTATTTCAAAAACCAAGCAACAATGTGTTCTTAAACGATTTGGCAAGCATATTTCGCGTAGCTTGTTGCTGTACTGCCTAGAGATTCTGTGGATAACCGCGTTTTCCATAGTTCGAGCCAATCCAACTATATCTGCCGAAAGAATGTAAATTAGTTCGGAGTTGACTGACAGCGCATTACTCAAATCAAAACAATTGCAGATGGGCTTTATCAACTTGAATAGGTGCTTATCGTTCTCTTTTCCTACTCTGTCAGGCTCCCACAGTAATAAACTTGCGAGCAACGTTAGCGTTCCTTCGTTAGCACAAAAAAACCAAATGTTTATATCATTTAAAGTGTAATCACAGTGCCAGTCGACTGACCATGGGATCAAATTTGTTTAAAGTTGCTGCCTGTGTGCCCCATCCTCACATTTGGTAGCTGGCCAAGGCAGTTGTAGCAGCTACAGCCTTTTATTTTGCACGCATAGGTCGGGAATTGTTAACCGAATGTACACAGTCTCCGACGTACCGAAGAGTTTAGCTCTCAGTCCATTGCTGTGCGTTGCTGACATTTTGTAGAAAAGCTGAAAATCAGTCTGTTCGCTAGTTCGATGGCTCGTGTTGGGAAGTTGGCTGGTTATCTCGCTGTAGTTCGTCCCATATTTGTATTTGTTGAGGCAAACCGGGAGGCTTTCGTTGATCCTCTTACTCATATGTCTGGTCGTACATCCAACAAACCCAGACGCACAAGGTCAGGCGAACCGGTGAACTGTCATTAATTGAGGTGATCGGGAAACCCGATGTTGGATTGTAGGAACAAGCAGTTATTTGTTCGTAAATATCACATTTGATTGGGCCACACTCAAGGTCTTTCTACCGTTTTACACTAGGCTACTTGTGCTTAGTTCAACTGCATGGTTTTCTTTGAAGTGCAGAGTCAGAAACAGCTGTTTCTTTGCTACTGTTTGCGTATGAAGTTTTGGACTGTTTCGCCTCGTGTAGGTGTCAATGAAACACTCCGGATATCCATTCTCAAGAGGTGCTACTTTGCTTCAACGGACTTAGTCTTCAACAGCGTCTTAACGGCAGCTTAGGTATGCGCGATCAGTTAACTTTCGCACCAAATTACGCTCACGGCTAAATGGAACAAAGTTGTTAAAGTTTATGTGTTTGTCCTGTCCAACAAGGTTTGGTGTATAATTTAATTTAGTTTGATCCACCACTTCGTCTGATCAGTTTGTGTCCAAGAATTTTAACTGATTGGTGTTTGCTTCTTCAGTTGTAAAGGCGTCTTGTCGAAACAATCGTGTACGTTCTGCAAGTTGCTTGTCAGATCACTCATGCAAAATATCTCATCCAAATACCGTCGGTAGACTTTTAAACCAGAAATGTTCCAGGATTTCCATAGAGATATCTGCCAACAGTGGACTAAGATGTGATCTCATTGCCCCACCGTCGACTTGTATGCACAGCTCACGGTTGAAGTAGGATTGCACATCAAGTGTACATCTGAGCAAAATTTGTACCAATCTTTACCCCTCGGTTATCAATGTAAGCGTGTGGGAAATTGTCTTTATTATAAGTACCTTTCTAAACAGTGTCACAGCCTCTAGGGAAACAGTTGACAATCCTGGATATTCACGTTTCGAATTTGTTCGACAAATGGAAACTTGTCAGTAGACAGTGTGGTACAAGCAGTCTTTTTTCGACCATCATGGAATGTGATTTACTCATATTTAACTTAAGCCACAGTGATTTGCCCGGTTTAGGTATTTCTGGACGACCAAAAAGACGGGGAATATTGGAGCCCCTAACTCTAACTTATTCATAGGCTTTTTGGTTCCACTAGCCTCACTCACTGACGAAATTAGAAATACTTGTTCTGTTGTATTTATGTGTAATCCGTGTTATCTTTCCGTTTGTGTACTCACTGCTGTCCATAAGTACTGTTTCCGGATCCTTTATCTGACTTGGTAATAACTAAGTCTTCTTCATGACGTTTTCCATATAGACTGCGAATGCACCAACATAGTGACAACAAAAGTTATAAAAATTACATGCATGGTGAGAATGTGCGCACATCAATTGAGTATGACCTTTGATGGGTCAACCAGTAACTGTCACACTTACCGTACTACAGATTTACGGTATTACACGGTACTAGAATTTTGAGGAGCGATCGAGCAGAGAGAGTTCTTGATAAATCACCGTACAATGGGTGGGAAAAGTCATGTAAACTCTTGAAAGAAAAACCGGTACACACATCAAATGATAAGAACAATCTGCTGCACCTGAAACCTAACTATACCACCCGTCTAAGCCAGACGTTAACTATCTGAGGAAGGTCTGGACAGTTAACCGGAGAACAAAACAGCTTATAAGAGAGAGAGGGAGCAAGCAACGTCTGAGATTTAACAGAAACAGAAATACTTGTTCGAAAGACTCCTCTTTTGACGAATATGGCTTGCGTGACATAATTCAAGCGGCCCAGTTCCATCGACACCGATCCACGCACAAACAACGACACAAACCTCGCGTAAACGCATCAGTGTTCTTTTCTACGCTGAAATTAAACGGCTATAAATGGTTTAGGTTCACTTACGGAATTCGACATATGGTAGTGTGCACTCTCCCAAGCCGCAAGCATGATACCACAAGTAAGCCTTTGGAACCTCACCGTAAAACCTTTTCATTATGCCATAACAAGAGTTCAAACAAATGTACCTTCTCTGAAGGTAAACGTGTTTCATTAGCTCCATTTAAGTTGTCTGTTTCCATTTGTTCTCACTAACTCAGCCTGTCTTTCCTTTCAAACATCGATCAGGATACGACTTCCGAGGTTCGGTTGGCTTTTGAAGTGAAAGGTCCATCGAGTCGGTTGCCAATTCGAGACATCTCATTTCACCCTGCAATGGCGGTGAACAAGCCACTTCAAGTTGGATACGTTTGTTTCCAGTAAGAAGTGGACATTGTTGACCGAATTCCCGTTATAACTTGGCCCTAAATGGATTCAAACCTTTCCGACGCCACTGTGTGATGAAGCAGCTACGGAGAGCAATTCTTACACATTATTCAAAGAAAATGTTTTTGTATCCCAACGGCTTTTTGCATCCTGCATCGGATGGTTGGGGACAGCTTTTAAATTGTACAGCAAATAAATTTCCTCATGCTTAAGAGGCCATGACAACCGGTGTATTACGAATGAACAAACCGGAGCACTGCATGCTATATCGAATGGCAGGTTAAAAAAATCGGAACCAAAAAACAGTAACCGCATTCATTCAAAGCAATAGTTTATGTAAAGTTGGATGCGATCAGAATGGCTGTCGCCTTTGGGTTTGTAAGTAAGGCAAAGTAAAGCCGTTTCACCTTCGGCTTCTAAGTTATACACAACACAAACGAGTACAATAGCCCCGTGACACAAAAGGAATCGTAATTGGGGTGGATAGATGCGTCAATATTATGAACACAAATGTTATTGAACAATGAATTTATACGGGTTAAGAAGTGTTGCTTTACGAGTCCCCTTGGACAGTTGGTGGGGATATCAACATAACAGTAGTGATGACAAGGATAATAAAGTAGTTAATAATTGAAAAATAAAAATGGGGACTTATCGTTTGCTCCCCTGTAGTCCTGCGATCCTCTTAGATTCACAGAACCCACAGTTAACAACAAATAATTCTATAGTAAACTCCAGTTGTAGGATGGTGACGTAGTGATAAGTAACAAAGTGTAAGTGGCTAAGTGCATCGTCCAACCGTCTTTTAAATATTGTTAGCGTCGGCGCAGAGACGACCGATTCTGGGAGAGCATTCCACGGGTGACAGACACAAATGGAATAGAAATTTCTGCGGCACTCCAGACGACAGTATTGTTCTGCGAGTTTCAATGAGTGGCCCCTCAGGTTTGTACTGCTGCTGAGTTGCAGTAAAGGGCGGCACACATGATGTGGGTCTCGCAGAATCAAGTATGCCATAATAAGGTCGCCTCGTAGTCTGCGATAGCTTCCGATGAATACACCCAACAGTTGCAGCCTCTCCTGGTAGGAAAGATTGCGCATTCCAATTACGTTCTTAGATGCCCGGCGTTGTGGCTGCTCCAGTGCATTAAAGTCGTGTTTCAGCCATAGATGCCAGGCTTGAATTGCGTATTCGACATGGGGGCGAACATACGCACTGAGCATTTGTGGAAATATGGAGCTGTTTATTTGTCCAAACGCCCGTCTGAACAGCTCCACGTGTTGGTTCCCAGTCTTCGAGGCCTTTTCGGATTGCCTGGAGCAACCCAACTCACGTTCGAGAGTTGATTGTTGTAGTATATTCTTTTCAACTGATAAAATATCCCGGGAGTAGACATCAGAACAAATGTTAGCGAACAAGCCCGTTTTCAGTGGTTCCTCATCAGGCTAATACACCACAAATGAATGACATGAAGCGTAAACATCAATTAAGAGTACAGGTTCAAACACCCAGATGGTCTGAGTGACCAAGCTAGGCGATTGGCCACACGGCGATCAACAGTTTGTTTGTGTGTGTGTGGCGTTGTCCACACTGTGTGTCCGTGTTACAGGGGACCAGGGTAAAGTTAGTGCCTGGACAAATTTCTTGTGTGCACATAGGTCAGGGTCATGAAGTCTGATGGCTATCGCCTCGGCCGCTGCCAGTATACGACATCTAACCGCTCTTGTGTGACATCTGGGTACGCGATAGATGGGCTGGAACGCCTCATGCGCTCTGACTTGATGGTTCGAGTCGATCAAGTGTGTAGACACTGCGCTAGCCACTGGTCTAGATACGCCGCTATACAGCCAAGCTGGACAGTGTTCCCTGGCTCTCTCGGACAGTCTCCTGGTAGTTCTTCCGATATATCTTGCTTGACACGAGCAAGAGAAAGAGTATACACAGAATGAAGTACTAGACCTTGGGATTCTGTCCTTAAGTTGTTGATTCAGGGTCGGCACTGAGTAGAAGCTCAGCCGTAGGCTTGCTGCATAGTACGTTTGGGCGACTGCGGCAGAAAGCTTTCTAGACGTTGATTCAGCTATTCCGTCCCCCTTGAACGGTAACGATAAGTAGATCGGTTTCTTTCCTACTGAATCCACTTTCACCTTCGCTTCTCGTACCTCCATGTTTCGCCGAACGAACCTCTCAGGATAGCCATTGCTATCGAATATGCTTCGTATAAAGTTTAGCTCGTCCGCAAGCATATCTTCGCTACATATCCTCCTTGCTCGCTCGGTTAGGCACCGAACAAGTTTCCGTTTCTGGCTGAGCGGGACGAAGCTGGCAAAGTGAGTGTATTGCCCATTCCACGTTGTCTTTCTATGGACACTTCGCTGGACAGATCCGTCAGGTCTTCGGCTAAGCTGAACATCTAAGTACGACATTGAGTTGTTGCACTCAGATTCAAGGGTGAATTTTATGTTTGCGTGGGCTGAGTTAAATTGCCTCACTAATTCTTTCGTACAAAGATGACTATCTGAGGTGCAGAATATATCGTCCACATACCGTCCGTAGTAGACTAATTTGTCGATAACTCCGTGTAGATAGTTGTTCTCTAATTTACTCATAAATACGTCTGCTAGCAATGGACCTAACGGAGAGCCCATTGCGACTCCGTCCTTCTGTCTGTAGATCTTGCCGTCGAACAGAAATTGTACGTTTCTGGTACACATCAGAAGCAACTGTTTAAGTCGCTCGTTCGAGAGGCCGACATTCACATGGTGTAATCGAACAGCGTCGCAAAGGTAGTCTATCGTCTCCTCCAACGGAACATTAGTGAAAAGCGACACTACGTCTAGAGAAAACATTTTCCTTCCGATTAACTGCATATGGCTTATGGAGTCTACGAAGCTGAATGTATCTCTGAGGCTGTGTTTGGCTAGGACTTTTCTGATCGATTCTAGAAGCTTAGCGAGCCATTTCGCTGTTGTGTGATATGGAGAATCACACATGTCTAATATTGGCCTCAATGGAAGTCCTTCTTTATGCACTTTCGGTAAGCCATAAAGACGTGGAATCACTGTCCCGGAGGGACGCGTGTACTCGAAAACCACTGAGTCAATCGCATTCTCTTGCTTCAGGCAGCGTAGTAGCTTTGTGACTGTCTTTTCTATCGATGCCGTTTTGTCTTTCTCTGTCTCCATCATCCGGAATTTTGAATGATCGTTGAGGATGGCATTCATCTTGGTGATATAGTCAGATTTATCCATAAGGACAATCCCTGCTCCTTTATCCGGCCTAGAGAGCAGCACATGTTCGTTCCGTTTAAGCGTTTTGAGGGCATCTAAATGCGCGTTCGTCAGTAAATACCTGACCTTAGGTTTGTGCTTCAGGTACTGGTAGCATGTATTGACCATGGTGGATTTAAAATGCTCAGCAGCTAATGCTGATGAGGGTGTAAGCATAGCTACTTGGGAATGTGCATTTTCAAACTGGACTTCTAGTTCTAGCTGACTGGTATTATTACGAGGACAACAAAATTTCGGACCGAGTGAAAGTGCCTCAAGTAGTGTCTTATCCAGATGTAAAGAGGAAAAATTGTGGACATACCTTTCCGGGTCGGATGGGAAGGGCGTGTTAGCCTTAGTTGTGCCAATCTGCTGACGCATTGAGATTACTCGCCCGTCAACTTGCTTTGTGACTACACGTTGAACAAATGCTTCGAATCGCGTGAGTTCCTTTCCATTCAGATGGTCCAGCATGAGAGAGTAAACGCATTGATTACCAATGGTACTCTCTCATGCTGGACCATCTGAATGGGGAGGAACTCACGCGATTCGAAGCATTTGTTCAACGTGTAGTCACAAAGCAAGTTGACGGGCGAGTAATCTCAATGCGTCAGCAGATTGGCACAACTAAGGCTAACACGCCCTTCCCATCCGACCCGGAAAGGTATGTCCACAATTTTTCCTCTTTACATCTGGATAAGACACTACTTGAGGCACTTTCACTCGGTCCGAAATTTTGTTGTCCTCGTAATAATACCAGTCAGCTAGAACTAGAAGTCCAGTTTGAAAATGCACATTCCCAAGTAGCTATGCTTACACCCTCATCAGCATTAGCTGCTGAGCATTTTAAATCCACCATGGTCAATACATGCTACCAGTACCTGAAGCACAAACCTAAGGTCAGGTATTTACTGACGAACGCGCATTTAGATGCCCTCAAAACGCTTAAACGGAACGAACATGTGCTGCTCTCTAGGCCGGATAAAGGAGCAGGGATTGTCCTTATGGATAAATCTGACTATATCACCAAGATGAATGCCATCCTCAACGATCATTCAAAATTCCGGATGATGGAGACAGAGAAAGACAAAACGGCATCGATAGAAAAGACAGTCACAAAGCTACTACGCTGCCTGAAGCAAGAGAATGCGATTGACTCAGTGGTTTTCGAGTACACGCGTCCCTCCGGGACAGTGATTCCACGTCTTTATGGCTTACCTAAAGTGCATAAAGAAGGACTTCCATTGAGGCCAATATTAGACATGTGTGATTCTCCATATCACACAACAGCAAAATGGCTCGCTAAGCTTCTAGAACCTATCAGAAAAGTCCTAGCCAAACACAGCCTCAGAGATACATTCAGCTTCGTAGACTCCATAAGCCATATGCAGTTAATCGGAAGGAAAATGTTTTCTCTAGACGTAGTGTCGCTTTTCACTAATGTTCCGTTGGAGGAGACGATAGACTACCTTTGCGACGCTGTTCGATTACACCATGTGAATGTCGGCCTCTCGAACGAGCGACTTAAACAGTTGCTTCTGATGTGTACCAGAAACGTACAATTTCTGTTCGACGGCAAGATCTACAGACAGAAGGACGGAGTCGCAATGGGCTCTCCGTTAGGTCCATTGCTAGCAGACGTATTTATGAGTAAATTAGAGAACAACTATCTAAACGGAGTTATCGACAAATTAGTCTACTACGGACGGTATGTGGACGATATATTCTGCATCTCAGATAGTCATCTTCACACGAAAGAATTAGTAAGGCAATTTAACAGCCCACGCAAACATAAAATTCACCCTTGAATCTGAGTGCAACAACTCAATGTCGTACTTAGATGTTCAGCTTAGCCGAAGACCTG